ATAGACTTGTGGCTATGTCCAAAGTTTACTACTAGCACTGAAAATGCGACAGTTTATGTTACTTGCACTATAGATTTTCAGTACAGGTCAATTTTGGAACATAGCCTATATATTATATTTAAGTTGCACCAACGTTACTTTAATTTTTAACGAGGCTTACTCTCTTTATTCCTGTCTCTTTTAAAACAAGATAGGGAGAGTTTTAAGTTTTGCTTAAAATCAAAGTAACGTTGGTGGAACCAGGCTTTAATTGTTTAATGTAGATTGATAAAAAGTATGGTAGTTATTTAGAATATCCTCCCCCCCCCCCCCTTTCACCTAAAATCTTCATAAAACTGTACTTATTCGATGCGTTTTCATTCAAAACGAAAGAAAATGGCAATAAAACGCGGCAGTCAGCTTCCTGAATCGAATTATTAAGCGTTAAAGTTGGAGACTTTTAGAAGATATCTGTCATCCCGACTCGATACAACTCTATGTATATGTTCTGCTTTAATTATACAAATTCACTGCTTTAAAAACAAAAATTCATTGTTTTAAACACACAAATTCTTTGCATTAGCAGTGAATTCATGATGCAATAAATTTGTATTTAAAGCAGTGAATTTGTGTTTTCAAAGCAGTGAATTTGTGTTTGTGAAGCAGAGAATTTATTTTTAAAGCTGTGAATTTGTGTAATTAAAACAGAACGTATACATAGTGCTATATTGAATGCACCCATTGAATCAAGATGACAGATATTTAGATTATTTGGTCTCCAACTTTAATGCTTAATAACTCAATTCATGAGGCTAACTTCGCATTTTTTTTTTGTCAGATTCTTTCGTTTTGAGTAAAATCACATCGAGTATATTTTTATTAAGATTTTAGGTAGGGGAGGGGGAGATATTCTATTAGGTAGTTAAACTTAATTCCTGCCGCTTGCTATTAGAGAATGCCGGATTCAACGCTAATGAATTTCAATTTCGACCGTGAAGTCGCATGTCTTTTGTAGTTTAGATATTGCTGAAAGTGATTGAATCCTCACAGATTAAATTTCTCGACATCAAAGATATTTTCCAATCGATTGAAAATGAACTGCAATAAGCTGTTTTTCCGACATTTGCTTCTTTACTACTTTAAGCTCAAGAAAATCGCATCATTTATTATCTGAAGTGTAGTGATGAAACTCCATTGAAAAGAATATGTAGAGTTTGGTTTTAAACGCTTTTGAAATGGTGATTTTGATGTGAGTAAAGAACATTTCTTGATAAAGAACGAGTGACAAGTTGATGAAAAAAAGACTATCCATAGCTAACAATTGATGCACAGTCAAGTTTTTTTGCATGATAATGCTCGACTGCATGTTGTGAAAAGCATGAAACAAATTTTTAGAACTTGAATAGTGAGTCCTTATGCATCCAACGTACTCTCCAGATTTGACATCGTTGGATTACCAATTGATTGCCATCTTTTCCAATTGATGCAAACATGTGCTTACGGACACATACTTCTCCAATTACGAAGGAATCCAAAAATGGATGAATGGATTGCCTTGAAAAACACCGCGTTTTATCGTTGTGGGATTGCCCTGTTGCCAGAGAGATGGAAAAGAATAATAGAAAATAGAGGAAATTACTTTGATTAAGGTATTCATTTATCTCCTCTTTGAAACAAATCAATTTTGGAGATGAAAACAGCAGGAATTAAGTTAACTACTTAAATAATTACTAAAAGTTTAGGGCCGGTTTTATCAATTCGCCAGTTAACTTAATCGGCCGTTAATTCACTGATTAATCGCATTTGCTGATTAGTAGAATTGACCAAAACCGATCCCTAATGTAGGTTTTTATATAGAGAACTCTAGGCTTTATATAAAGAGTTAAAATTTACTAACTTTGCAGTATGGCATGATATGAGAACAACTACAACTCTAGAAGATATATTGGATAATGTCCCTAATAAAACAAGAAATAAGAATTACTTGAAACCATTATGTGGCTTACCAATGTCTCCCTATTTTAGCGCTCTCAAGATACGCTGGTTGATAGATAATGTTCCACGTGTGAAACAAGCAATAGATGCACAGAAGTGTGCTTTTGGAACAATTGATACATGGCTCATTTGGGTAAATAAATTTATTAAATTGCATTCGTAAAAAGCAAAGGTAGAAAAATTTTGTCATTATCTCATTGTTAAATGTTTTTTATATTCAGCATCTTACAAAGGGCCAATTGCATGTTACGGATGTATCGAATGCATCTCGCACGATGCTGATGAATATTGATACACTGAAATGGGATCCTTTATTATGTCGTTTCTTTGGTATTCCACAACACATTCTTCCTGAAATACGATCTAGTGCAGAGATTTATAGTTCTATTTCAAACCCTGAAGTTCTCACAGGCATACCCATAGCAGGTGTAAGTATATATCTAGGAGAGATATATTTGTGTATTATTTATTTAAACATTAAATAATTTCTCTTATTGAATTCTTTTTCCTTCTAATAGAAATGTCAGAAACTTTTCTAGATAAAAATGATTTTTAAGTTGCTAATGTAGTAATTTACAGTTGTAATTATTATTTTCACAATTTTTGAAGCTCATTCGCTTTAAAATTGAAATTGTATTATCAAAGCATCATAGAGTGTTTTATGATAAATTTAACAAGATTATATAATTTTTAATACTTTTGAGAGAAAGTAAAAAAAGCAAATTGCTTATACATATAATTTTTTTTCTACAGTGTGTTGGAGATCAGCAAGGAGCTCTTCTTGGCCAGTTATGTTTGAAATCTGGTCAAGCAAAAGCTACGTATGGCACAGGATGCTTTTTACTTTACAACACCGGAAATACAGTATGTATAACAGACATGTAATGTAAAAAATTAAAATTTCTCCAAAATATAAAATATTTACATATTGTAGAATATATAATTTTTTTTTCGTCAAATGAAGTTTATATAATTAAAGATAGACATATAAAAATGTTTTTTTGTAGAAAGTCGACTCAACACAAGGATTGATAACTACGGTCGCTTACAAAATTGCGCGATCCCCACCTGTTTATGCATTAGAGGGATCTGTCGCTGTTGCTGGAGCTGCTTTATCCTGGTTGCGAGATAATATGCAACTTATCAGTAATATCATGCAAACACAAGATATGGCAGAGCGTGTAAGATGTTCTGGTGATGTGTATTTTGTACCGGCTTTTTCGGGATTGTACGCACCTTATTGGCAACAGGATGCGCGCGGGTATTACACTTTCCTATTTTCTTCTATTGATGTAAAATTGTCAAGACTTCTTTTTAATCGAACATCTTCATATTATTATACAATTTAATAGAGTGATCTGTGGTATTACTGAGAATACGGAACAATATCATATTATACGAGCAGCATTAGAAGCGGTTTGCTTTCAAACGAGAGACATACTAGAAGCAATGGTGAAAGATTCAGGTACGAACCTGACAACTTTACAAGTCGATGGTGGTATGACTGTAAACGACTTGTTAATGCAATTACAGGCAGATTTAATTGGAATAACTGTTGGTAAGTAAACAATGTCATAGGAAACTTCTTATAATTTTTTTAATTAATTATGTTATTATAAATAGTGAGACCAAACATGGTTGAAACAACAGCATTAGGAGCCGCTATTCTAGCTGGTATTGGTGCAGGTTTAGTTGATATAAATGAAGTGGATGCATCTCAAGTAACCAAATTTTCACCTCAGATTGGTGATGATGGTAAATATATATTTCGTATTTTGTATATGCCAGTGTAATAATATAAAATTAAAAAAAATAAGACTTAATAATATATATTTTTCGTTTTTATTTTAGAGAGAGATCTTCGATATTCTAAGTGGAAAATGGCTGTTGAAAGATCTATGAAATGGGATTGTTCTACAACTCTAATAAATAATTAAAATTGTATAT